CCTGTTACAGGATTTTTCCTTGTTCCTTGCACCTCTTTCCAGGGCTCTCCCAAGAGGTCCTTTTTCCTCCCTGCCTCCCCTCCCAATGGACACTGAATCCTTTTGCAAACTTCTTCTTCCTGCCAGCCCAGCTCTTTATAGAGAACACCTGTTGTCCACCCTTCAGCAGTGGACAACTGCTGCAACTGATTAACGAACAGGGTTGTCAGGACCCAGACCTTCGGCCCTTAAGAGACAGACAGTCCTGTCACAGGGGTTTTTATAATTTAGTTTCTGGGTATGTCTAGACTACATGCCTCTGGTGACAAAGGCATGTAGATTAGGCTACCCAGCATAGGAAAATGAAGCGGCGATTTAAATAATCGCAGCTTCATTTAAATTTAAATGACTCCCACGCTGAGCCGATCAGCTGTTTGTCGGCTCAGCGCGGTAGTCTGGACGCTCCACAGTCAACATCAAAGGAATTTGTCGACCTCCCAGGTAAACCTCATCCCAGGAGGCATACCTGGGAGGTTGACAAATGCCTTTGATGTTGCCCACGGAACGTCCAGACTACCGCGCTGAGCCAACAAACAGCTGATTGGCTCAGTGCGGCAGCCATTTTAATTTAAATCGCCGCTTTATCCTAATCTACATGCCTCTGTCACCAGAGGCATGTACTCTAGACGTACCCCCTGCCTCCACTGGATATTGGGCCAAAGAATGGATATAAAGAATTACACTGGTCCTCTTAAAAGGGGGGGAAAGGGAGAGGCAGTAGCAAAAAAAAAATCTATGGTGTGAGTTCTGAGGCTTCTGAATGAGGTAGGATATATAGGAAATGTAGAATGAAAAGTTAGGGAAAGTTACAGTAAGTGCTCATACCTCTGAATTCGATGCTTTCTACAGATAAAGGCAAAAATTCTTCTGATTCCTACCATCACTGGATCCCAGTTGTTATAATGGCATAAGAAAGTTGCAATGAAAAATGAAAAAAAAACAGGGATTGCCCCTGCAAAAAATAACCAGGAAAACTGCACCTGTAATTAGAGCATAAATATAATTTAACACCATTCTACAAAGTACAGTTGTAGTTTCTTTTAACATTTCATTTTTTCCCCATTTTTGACAACTGCCATAAAATTGAGAAGTGCCTACTTTTCTTATTGTTAAGTGTCTAACTTGCATCAAGATTATAAAGACAGCTGCATTTGTAATTTAATAGCTCCTTTGTTGTTACAATACCGTCAGCATTTGTGGGTAAGCCATTTCCACTTGAAGAAAAACACACCTCTTTATCAAATGCACTGGGACTCAGTTCTTTTGAACATTGAGTAATGTTATAATTTTTGCATTTTAACATTTTTTGTAGGATCTCTTGGTTCATCATGTCCCCAATTACCTACTGTGTTCAATTCCCTTTTTAACTCATCTCCTTATACTGGATTCTCCATCTACAGTTTTCTCCCCCTTCTGCTCCTGGAAACAGAGTTCTCTTTTGTAGTTTTTCAAATCATCTTAACAACTGTAAAGCACTCTTTAGTACTTTGTTCAGTTTAATTTTCAATTCCCTCCGGAAACTGGTTCCATGCCAACATAGCTCACTGGCAAGAAGTTCTTCCTGATACTCAAAGTTAAATTTTTGACACAAAATTGGAGGCCAGATTAAGACTACTATAAAAATCAAGTCTCGTGTATATCTCAGTAATCATATAAACTACAGTACAACTGGAATCCTTAGGGGTGAACGGACATTCAGTTCAAAACTCTTATTCATTCACTCATGGCGCTTAGCAGCTTTACTAAATACAGAATATCCAGACGATATCTCCTAGCTAAAAGTCAATACTTCTTCCATGCTAGGGAAGAAATGTTCTGGGATTCATAGTAAAGTATTGACCTTAAGCTATCTTTTGGGGACCTCATCTTACATATCAGTTTCTGGATAATAGGTGTGCATCGCTCCTCTTGTAACTTATGTCTGGATGCTGAAAATGAAAGCACTCTCTTTGTTTCTCCATCCATCTATAGAAATTGATGGCACTAATCCATGAAAGTTGAATTATCAAAGGTGAGCATTCACAGGAATTCTCCAAGCAACTGTATGGATAACCCAAGTGAAAGGTCACAAAGCAACATACCTACTCCATCTAAGTTGAATTTCTGACCAGCACTAGCTGAAAAAAACAAATATTTCAGGTCAATCTGTGACCCCAAGTGCCCATTTAAAGAGACATTCAGAGATGTGAGTATTAAAGAAATAATAGCAACTAAAGATAAAACCCTTGGAAGTGGTTCAAGCAAAGAAGTCTTTGAATTGTAGACCAAATAAAGGATATGGAAAAGCTAATAATTCTGGACGTAACAAGAATTTGTTCTGAGATTGTGTGTGTGGAGGGAGGGGAGTACAGCACTGTTTTGAAAGTGAGCCATAAATTAGATTATCAAGATTTTACCTGACTTTATTTTTCTTAAAAGGAACAGACCCTGTAAATTCTGTTTTAAAGCTTTTACATATGTGGTATAGACATCCTAGATGCTCCAACTAACTATTTCTACCCTAAAGAAAAATAAAATAAAATAAAATAAAATAAAATGTAGAACTATAATATGTACAGCTTCTTTTTATCTAGAAAAAGCTGATTAACCATAAAGATGGCTCCCCCTTGTGGGGGAAAAACTCATATAGTGGTAAGAAATCGTGGGCTGTGTCTAAACTACATCCCTTTTCGTGAAAAAGGGATGTAAATTAGACACTTTGAAATTGCAAATGAAGCCAGGATTTAAATTTCCCGCGCTTCATTTGCATAATGGCAGCTGCAGGGGTTGTTTTCCCCAAATAGGGGCTTTAAAAAAAAAAAAAAACACAAACGGCTGTTTAGGTGGGGATCATTCAAAAATAAAACCCTTTTTTGAAAGATCCTGTACTCCTGAAAAAATGAGTACAGGATTTTTTGAAAAAGGGTTTTATTTTCGCATGATCCCCGTCTAAACAGTTGTATTTCTTTTGAAAAGCCACTTTTTGGAAAAAAAAACCTGCGGCCACCATTACGCAAATGAAGCATGGGAAATTTAAATCCCAGCTTCATTTGCAATTTCGAAGTGTCTAATTTACATCCCTTTTCTTAGAAAAGGGATGTAGTTTAGAGACAGCCTCGGTGTTTAAATGACAGTATGGACAACACGTCATTCTTAGCAATCTAAATATGCAGATATTAGAATTGTCTGCTGTCCACATTAAATTCTAATGGAGATAAATATTTAAATGAGCTTGTAATGGTACATTAAAAATCCTGGAGACAGTGTGACAGAATGAATAGGCCATTGGATTAGAACTAAAGGGATATGAGTTTAATTTCTGGCACTGCCATTATTGTGCTGCTTGACCTTGTGCCCGTCAATTAACTCTCCAGGACTCAGTTTCTCTATCAGTTAAATGGGGATTATGATAACTTTCTTTGTAAAACACTTTGAGATCTGTGGATGAAAAGTGCTTTATTACTTACTAGAACCAGTATAATTACAAGTTTGACTTGTAATGTCTAAAGAAGCATGCAAAAGTCTTATATTTTAGTGCATTTTACCTTTTCCTTAGTGCTGCTGTGTTTAGGAGAGCAGCAAATTATTTAGGAGTCACGGCCAACCTGAAGCACCCAGTCTCGTAAGGAATGCTCCCTTGAGCTAGTTCTATCCAGAAGAGCTGAACAGTAGAAGGTACTGAAGACTGAAGCCTGCCTAGGTCAAATCATGATGATGTTAACTAGGACTGAGAAAGACTGGCAGACAGGAAGACAAAGACCTGGATGGCAGATGACCATCATACGAAAAGAAAATGAAACAGATGTTGGACTGCCCTGCTCCAGCACCCTTGGGACATGAGCAATCCCAAATCAGAGAGTTTGCTGGACCAGGGGAGGTCAACGCTCCCTTGCAGGCCACATGCTCATGCCTTGTTCCTCTCTAGGCTCTGGGACTCCACAGGAGAGGCCAGCCACCGACCCCCACTGCTGCTGGGGCTCCCTGGCCGGAGATCCCTGGCCAGCCCTGCTGTTTTGGGGGTTCCCAGCCAGGACTTGGGGTTCATGGCCAGCGCTTTCCAGCCAGCCCTGCCAGGATCAGGGCTCCCTAAGTTGCTCTGCTGCTGCTGTGGGTTCCCTGTCAGGGTTCTTGGGACTGCTAGGGCTGGGGTCCCCAGCCCCCACTGGCCCAGCCAGGGCTCCCCAACCCACGCAAGACTCTAGTTATCTTGTGCTCCCAGCCTCCAGGGCTCTTTGGTCCAACAACATTTGTGGTCACAGATTTGGGAGGTTCAACCTTTGGCAAGTGTGCGAATTGAAGCTGAAAGGGAAGCAAGAGGCAGATGAGGGAAAGACCCCTAACATCATTACCACTTATCTTAGTGGCAGTGTCTATGGGGAGGTGAAGTAGAGGAAAGATTGCTAAAAAGAAAAAAGGTAGCCAAAAGCAGATCCTATCTAAAGGCAGCAGCAGTTTTCAGTAAGGGTGAAGAGATAACAGAAATAAAAGCAACAGGAAATGAAGAGTAAGGAAAACGGTCAGAGGGTGTTGTACCTAAAGGATGGAAAAGATTAAGGAAGGAAAGGAATGGATATATGCAGATGACTAGGATTAAGAAAGATGTTCTAAGCAGAAATGTGGAGAAAACAGAGGTAGATAAAGATTTATTAAAATAAGGAAAAGAAGAAAAAGCAATTGAGATGAGAGCGAATATAAGAAATCAGATCTGTTAATAAAATGTTTTGGGCTTATTACTATTATGAATGTCAAAAAGAGATATAGAATAAGTTTTCAGATAATTGTGATGGGTGTAATAAAAGTAAATAGAAAGATAAGAGATTATATGTTGCCATTGCATTAAGTATGCCTCACATAGATCGTCAAACGTTGCTTTAATGTTGTTTCTTCCATTTCAGAAGTTGCAGTACTTTTATGTATTTTACTTATACAGAATATAAATTCCATTTATTTAAATGACTGGACTAAGACTATTGGGGTATATAGTTCAGAGAACTGCTCCAGTTTTCTGGAAATTATGAAAGAGGGTTGCTTGTTCCTTCAACAATTGACACAACTACATTTAAACAAATTGCCTCAGAATATGAAAAATAAAAAAAGTTCTCTTTGAACTGAGCAAACTATAACACTCAAAACTTATACATTTCAGAAAAAAAGATATAAATACAGCTGCCTACTTGCACTGAAGTGAAATTATTATTCTTTTTGTAAAGAGTTACTTTGCTTTATTGAAGAACTTTCCATTTACTTTTATATTCTTAACACAATTTACTTATGTCCTAGTCATTCATTACTTAAGTTTCAAGAGCAAGACAATGAGGCTTGTTTTGCTTAGACTTACTAATTATTCACATGAAATAATTTACTTTATTTGTAGTTTTTGTACAGATTAGCTACACCCTAAAACATTTTCACTTTGTATCAAACAGAAGATATACATTTAGTGCTTCCACTATTATTATTCAGGTTTGAATTCAGACATCATGATGCCTGTCTTTCTTTCTTGTAGAGACTGACATTTCACATGAAGAAAGGCCTTTTTAAAATAGCCTACCACAAAAACATTGGCTCACCTAAAATGTCACTACAACATACTTCACAACATATACAGATGTTGCTGAACCAAATGTCCAAAAAATAAGATGTGGGGAAAGTCAGCCTTATGCAATAACTGAAAACAAATAACGATTCCAGACTTCAAAAAGCCTAGTAGTTTCTACAAGATACTGTATTTTGGGAAATAACCACTATAAAAGGTCATGGAATTGCATAAAAATAAAGCAATACACACAGCAAGAAGACCACCTGCATTTGAACAAGACACATGACAATAGCAATGTTCCCTCTAAAGTTTTCTTTGTACTGAACAAACAACACTGAAAACTACATTTTTGTCCTTAAACAAAATTACTCTCAGGGTTTTAGGCACAGGAGGGAGTGCTGGGATGGGTGCTCTGCTGGGGGTGTGGAAGGAAGTCAACATGCTGGGAGGCGGGGGAGATCAGGGTAAGTGCTCTTCGTTGGGACCAGATGAATTAAATGCCAGATATAAAGGGAGTGGAGGTATCAAGGCAGAGGAGAGATGTGAGGGTGGTGGTCTGCATAAGGATAGGGTAAGCCAAGGGCAGTGTGGGAGAGGAGGGGGTCGAGTGCCAGGGATAGGACGGGAGAGAGAAGTGGGTGTTCTCAATGGGAGACTCAGGCGATGTCTAGACAACAACATACCTATTGTGGGAAGGACATGAGCAAAGTGCACCTGGCAGCCATACATGCATCCCATTCCCAGTGCAGGGCCTTATGGTCTTCTCCCATGACATGACAGGCTGGTTCCTCAAGAGTCTGCAGCCTCTCTTTCCCAAGGTCAGATCCCTGCCCTGCTATGGGACTACAGTGGCTACTGCTATAGTGAACTAGCCACACTCAACCAGTCAAATAGCCACATGTGGCTAGTGTGTTGGACACCACAGGTACATAGTCTTCCATAAAAACAAGGTTCAGCTCCATCCACATCTGGCCTTTCTACCAAAAGTATCATCAGCTTTCCATTAGGGCCAAGATATTTTCCTACTGGCTTTGTCGTCACAAACCCCACTCTTTTAATGCGGAGACACACCTTCATTCACTGGCTGTGCAGTGGGTCCAGGCCTTTTACTAGGAGAGAACTAAGCTGTTCTGGAAATCCACCCAGTTGAGGGGTCAGCTGGTCTCTCCCCAGAGAATTTCAAACTGGATCATTTGACGTAACCACCAATTGTGCAGGCACTCTTAAATAAGGTGCAGGCTTTGTCGGTAGCATTCCTGGCTCGCATCCCTATCCAGGACATCTGTAGGGCGCCTACATGGTCATCAGTGTACATCTTTGCTGCATACTATGCCATTGTCTGCCAGACTAGGGACGACAACCGATCCATGAGAGTGATCCTGCAGCCTTCTTGTTCATGACTCCTACCCACTTCCAAGTGGATACTGCAAGTAGTCACCTCTGGTGAAATGGACATGAGCAAGCACTTGAATACAAGACGTACATGTCGCCATGTGCCCCAAGAGGCGCAGAAACGTCCTGGCTGTCATTACTAGGAACCAGGAGACACCCACAATGAGGTCTGACAGAACCTAGAACCTGTTCCCTGGGGAGGGATGCTCTGACCAATACTGCTCCTATGAACTCTGTTCTCTGTACCGGTACTAACGCTGATTTTTTTTCATTCACCAGCAGGCCCAGGGCTCTACCTGTGGACAGACGGAGGGTGATGTGACTCCGTACCTGAGGACTGAGGTTAGTGCCAGCTCCATGAGGAGTGTGCCAAGTCAAGTGTCCTGCCGCCACTTAGTCTTAGGGTTAAGTGCCAATTTTGCACTTGTCGCTGACGTGACACACAGGCAACTCCTCTGCAGGTCACTGACCAGCACAAACTGTTTACACAAATCACCAGATTTAAACCCCAAAGACTCGGGTATACCCCAAACCAGCCTCAAGTCTTTAAGGGGACCAGCTATTCAGTACTATACTATGGGTAAATTAATTATGAAGATGACTAACAGGGAGAAGACAACAGCAGAGCTTGGAGCACTGCAGATCTGGTGCACCGCAGCTGGTGGCAAGAAGGAACTGAGGCTGGGGGTTGCGCAGAGTGTCCCTTTATAGTGCACCACTCCAGGGGGTGCTAGAGGCATTCCCCTAGGAGTACTGCTAGGTGAAAAACTTCCAGCACCAGTGCATGTGGAGAGCAAGCACATCTATTGTAGAGTGGACATAAACAAGCACTTGAAGAATTGCTAATCACTGCTGACACGTCTTTAAATTTGTCACAACATTAAAAAGCTTTCATAATTTTCCTTTTAATCAGGACAAAATGCAGTTGATGAATTTTTTGGGGGGGGGGGGGGGGGTAAGAAAGACAAAATATATATACTGGCTTCAAAAACTGATGGTCAGCATATAGACAATGAGCTGTGAATAGTCTTGGTTGTCCTGTGAGCCTGGACTATGGATGGTCCTACAAACACACATGACCAGGTCACCTGATGCAGGAAACCATTTTGGGCACTGTACTTTTCCACTCAAGATGAGCAAAGTTTGAATGAAATACAAAAGAGTCTCACCTTGAGCAAAATCTATATAAAGGTATGAAATCAAACAAGAGGTGCTGCTGCCATAGGCCAGGAAAACCTTGGTTACTACCTAAGATGATTGCTGGAAACAGATGACTGAATAGGAGGAAGAATCAGGCCCAAGCTGGTAGGTTGCCTTTCTTGTGGGAAAAGATTAGAACTGTTAGGGTTGGAAATTGTATCTAACAAGTTTCTTAGTATATTAGGCTTAGTTGGCAAAGGATTTTTTTAAATTTTGATCAGTAACTTACTTGGATCTGTCTTATCACTTGCTACCACTTTAATCCTACTTTCTATTCTTAATTATTTTATTACAAACCCACTATTAAATGTTACTCAGGGGGACACCTCTACATCTCTCTTTCATTGATAAAGGGGGCAAACAGCTTATGAGCCCACATTGTATAAACTTTATGTATAGTGAGATGGGTTTATCTTGGGTTTTTGTCTCACTGAAGCTGTGTACCTGGGTGCTATGTCAAGCCTCTTTAACTGAGTCTTCCCAAAGCTGAGTGGATCTTAGTATCTGTGTTGTTCTGTTGTGGGCTGTGACCCCAACTCTGGGCCAGTGCTGGAGATACTAGCAGTATCAGAATGGAACAGAGTGATGGGACGCCACAGAAGGCAGGTTAGGCAGGCTCAGTGGTATTTTCAGTACATCCAGTGAGTCTCAAGGTGATCTGACACCAAATCCATCACATTAACCGTATTCATAAAACCTAGGATTAAGCCTTAAATTCTTCATCTTTTGCCAACATTACCTCTCAGGCTTTTTACATCATTAACTGAATATTTTCAAGACACACAAAAAGGATTTTACACCATTAAGCTGCTATTTAAAGGCTGATGTTACTACATGGTGTTTTACACATTTAGTTAAATGATTAAACCAAGCAAGAGAACTGAAATGGGGGAGTTTGGTGATTTAAATTACTTTTCATTCAAGCTGCATTTCAGTGAGATAAATTAAATATGCAGTAACAAACAATATTAGGATACAAACAAAACAAGATTAGGGTGCATATAGGAAGGATGACTGACAATTCAGTCTCGATAATGTATACTGTACATTCAGACTTGACACTGGCACTGACATCTACTTAGGCCTATTAATGATGCTCAAATATTATCAGTAATCAAATGTACATTACCTTCCGCATGCACATGTCAGCTATTATGGACAGAGGTATTGTAAGGCTTAGCGCAAGTGTGCCTATCAGTGATGAGGTAAGAAAGCAGCCCCTAAAAAAATATAAAAATCTTATTTAAAAATTAAGACATATTTAAAGTGCAGAAGAGATTTAATCAAGGTTAACTGTTAGTTATGGTTTTAAGCCGAAACCCATAATCAGGCACCTTCAATGTGCACATGATTGAGCCGTGGAATATAGTTTAAAAAATAAGACACTTTGTGGAATTACTGTGCATTTGAAGTATTCATTAATTTACAAATTATTGACCCAACAAAAGATTTAGGGTAAGGCTTGCCTAGTTTGAGCCATTTAGGTATCAAGTTAACTCCACTTCAGATACTAAGAAATGCTGTAAGTTAGAGCAGTGTTTCTAAACTGGGGATATGCAGAGGTCTTCCAGGGATACATCTTCCCCCCGCCCTGCCAGGGCATGCACAGCTGTTGGACCAGCTGGCCGGTCCCTCTGGAGCTGCGTGCCCCTGGCGAAGGAGGAGACTTTGTGCACTCCCTTGTTCCCATGTCTCAATTGGCCTCGGGGCAGGGGAGCAGCCAGGTGGGCCGGATCAAAGGACTTAGGGTCTGCGAGCTGAATTCTGCCCACCATCTGGCCCACCCCGGGCTAATGATATCAGATATATGTGGACTATCCAAATCAGTAATTAGAAAGTTTTACAAGTAATCCAGAAGAGGAAGAAGGAAGAGAACTTGTGCCCTTTGTTGTTTCCTTATGTCCATCATCAAGTCAGAAAGAGGGCACCAGATATATTTTTTCAATTTTAATTTAATTTAACTTCCTAGTTACTAGTCAAAATTTTCCATTAAAGCCACTTCAACTGAAAACTGACCTACTAAACAATATGTTTTGTTAAAAAAACACCCCCAAAATAAGAACAAAAAACCTCAACTTTCCAGACTGACGTATTAAAAACAAACCAAGAAGAACCCATCCACAGTCCCCTCCAAACCTTCCTCTCCCCCGCAACAGGAAAACAATTCCCACCCCAATAAAGTTTCTGATTGAAAATCTACCATATTGCCTCAAGAGAGACGTAATCCAGATGCTTTACTACTACATTTTCATCTATGGGCCAGATTACTAGACAGACTCTCTTTCTCATGATGTACCATTGACATGTTGCCAAATGAAAATATTCTGGTTTCAACTGAAGATTTTCAGGTTTCAATTTTTTGGGCAAAATGAAGTTTTCCCAGAGAAAACAGCCACCTCTTCCTCCTGTTATCTGACAAGTGGTCATACCAACTTTAAACAAGACCTTAAGTTTAAGAAAAATCTTTTATTTTATTTTTAAAAATTCAGTTAATCTTCTCTGTGTAATTATATGGATAACTACTGAATGTGATTTTTATTCATAAAATGTATTATATTTTTGTCAACGCCTATTAAATTCAAACACTTTGAACATAAGTTGGAAAAGATTTTTGGGGAAAGATTTAATGCATTTAACTTCTTCAATTAAGAAATGAAAGACATCTTCCCCTCCCTCCCCCCATGTCAAGCCATTGGGTCCTCTTCAGAGAGACTCCCATCAGAACAAAAACCAACAGATTATAAATATAATGTCCAAAGTTCAAAAAGAAGACAAATACTCTTACTGGAGTAACTAGGAGAGAGGGGAATCAAACAAACTTTAGGCCTTCTTTACACAGCAGCAAAAACATTTTCTAATCCAGAATTAAATACAGAAATCCAAATTTCCTGCTCCCCAAGAGCCCATTTAAAGGTAATTTTCATAAACCATCTTTAAGCTATTCCAAATACAGAAGTAATTCAACCACACACTAATTAAGTAGTAGGAAGTTTAATTCAAAACTATAAATATGAAGTAATAATTAAGACTCAAAATGTGCCACTCAGCTCTTCTTCAAAATGCTTATGGGATAGTCAGTCAATTAGTTGATTCCCCTCCTCTTGCTATCTATCAGAGGCAGCAAATGGGGGCGGAGAAGAGGATCCTGGGATCAGCTGCGCGGCGCTGCCCCTTTGAAACGCTGAGACGGCATTTCAAAGTGGCAGCGTTGAGTGGAGCCTGGGCTCAGCTGGGGACTCTTGTACATTTCAAAGGAAGAACTGTGCTAATTTACTTCTCAGTTCAGTTTAATTTAAACTCACAGGACATAATAGGGCAGTTGTGTTAAATTTAAAATACATGGTGAAGATGCTTTTTTTTTTTTAAGTGTGAAAACATTACTGTATTTTTAAAGGGTGTATTTTTTAATTTGATGTTTGTTCCTTGTCAAGTTCTCTGAAGATCTGTGGACTGGCTGTGAATTTTTTAAGTGACTAGAGACTTTTATTGGTTTTTGTTCAAAATGTCCTGTAATGTTGTTTTTATCACTACATTTTGTGTACTATATCTATCTATCTATCTAGATATATAAAAATAAATATAGAATACGTGGCTCTTCGCACTCTATCCACAGCTATTTTGACTCTGTCTCTAACTGGTCGGAAATTCCATCGACTTCTTGACTAGTAAATTAGCTAATATTTAACATCCTTAATGTACACAAAGAATTTTATATCTGTAAGTGTAATTTAAACAAATGAAAAACTGCAGTTTGTTAGTTTTATTTGCAGGAATAAAAGTATATTTGATGTGAATTGAAACAATTCTAAGATACTTTGAGTATCGAAATATTTTAGGGAGAGTCTGAGGACAAGATGAGATTTCTTATTCACTGCACTGCAACCAATCACTAGCTTAATACAGGAGCTGGGGTCTCAACATTTAAATGGTTTCAGCTCAAACAAGTGTTACAACACAAGAACATCTTACTCGTCTACACTTTGGCAATTTTTGTTTTTCAGGGTATTGATCTTGCATCTTTTTTCAGCCATCATGTAATACCGCCATTTAGACAGATATATTATTTACAAGATGGACTTTATTAAGAAAATATCCTGTCAAATAATTAACAACTCATCAAAATACTGAGAGCCTCTGCTCTCTGAGACACATATAACTTTCACAGGTGTGTTTAGTCACACTCCAGTCACTAGGCCACTCTATTCAGAAGCCCTTGATCCTACTTCTTTTGTTCATGCTGTAGAACAGTGGTGGGCAACCTGTGACCCTCTGTCTGCACATGGCCTATCAGGTCTAATCTACAGACAGAATGCAAGACAAGTTCCTTTATGCTGAGTTTCCACAGGCATGGCCCCCCGCAGCTTCTAATGGCCACGGTTCACTATCCTTGGCCAACAGGAGCTGCAGGAAGCAGGGATGGGGAACTGGGGAGCTGGGGAGTTACAGGAAGCAATGCCTGCAGATACTCAACATCAATGAACTCTCTCGCAGTCCACCGGTGGCTTATCCTGACAGACCCCGGTTGGCAGCCCACAGACCATATGGAGGTCTATGATCTTAAACTCAGAAGCCTCGGGTTCAATCCCTGCTGTTAATGACTCATCCACATTATCCTAGATTTTGTTTTCTGACTTGCTCATTCTCAGTTCATCCCCTAGTGATTAATGCAAGTTAAGGTACCAGTACCACCATTTTTTTAAAGATCTAATTTAGATAAGATTTAAACTATGAAAGTGCTTAATTTCTGGACAGAATTACTGAATTGCCAGTGTATTGCACAAGCTTGGTGATTAAATAGTATTTATAATGTAAACTCAGATAACCCAAGAAGATAAATGCTCATTTTTAAGTGTATTGTTCCAGCAGAAATCAGCACAAGAACACTACAATTTCAGCACAAGCAGGATCTTCAAATTTCTTCATCTTTCCTCATACAATTTTTGTAGTATGTGCCAATTCTAAAACTAATGGGTTTATTCTTTTTAGTCCTAAATAATATGTACACTAGTTTCTATAATGTCAAACCATTTTCTCTTTACAATTACCAAGCTAATTGCTCTTAAACAGTACTTTATGATGTATCAGATGACTTCCTATAATTCAATTCCTTTATAGATCACTGGAAAACAAAAACACAGCCTAATTATTCTGACACTTCAGTAGTTCACAGTCCTTAAGTAATGTATCAGAGAACAACAGCTTATATGAAGTAAACAGTACGTACCACAGCCAGAGGAATTCTGACAGAACTGTTCCAATAAGGCCATTAATGACAATGCACATTAACACCAGTTTACTGGGAATCTCAAAGGCCTCGAATCCAGTATAATGAAGTAGGAAGAAACCTGGCCATAGCAGCAACAGATTAAAAAGACCTACAAAACCTGCACATAAATATCAAATTAATGTTAGTTTCCTTTTAGTTTCATCCTAATTATTTTTCTCTCCTTCTCCCCTTACAGGTCAAATATTGGCAAGAGCTGCAGAAAAACTACCTTAATGAGTTATTCCTATTGCAATGTGAGACACTTTTAGTAGTTCACTACATTCAGAATAGATATTGGACTTTCCACAAGTAATTCCCTCTTCCAATTCAATAAGAAAGAATTTACACTTGCAACAGGGATGATCTAAAGCACAAGGAATCCAGGGTGTCACAACCACCATCTCTTTCTGAAGTGCTAAATAGGAGAGGGTCCCAAAACTATTAGGATAGACTCCTGAAGGTTTTTTTATTCCAACCTGGGGTTACAGTACAACAGCTGGTCTAGTAACAGGGCATAAAACAGTTAAAAAAAAAAAAAAGCCCCATCGTGAACTTTTAAAAAGTGGTGCTGGTCAGGTAAGAGCTCCTGCCTGAATTCAAATGTCCACTTGAAACAGGGGTCTGAGAAAATACGTTGTCCATGCCTATGTGTGAAATAAGAACAAAAAGATCAAACTTTGGAAAGAGAGATCAGGAATTTAATTCCAGGTTAAGGGCTACTATTGTGGTTTTCAGAGCTTGGTACATGAGTTAATGGACAACTTGCTCGTGGATCTGGAAAACTAGTTGACCATATGGTGCTGGCTTTACATGTTCCCAACTGTTAAAATTACTTTAGCAAAACAGCTAAAATATATTCAATACTTTAGTTTTTTAATAAAAGTAATTGCAGGAATAACTGAAGGAATGCTAATACTATTTCCAATGAAAAAGGTGATGATATAAAAGACACTATCAAGCCACAGCCTACCTCATGAAGGTCTGAAAATCTTTCATTTACTGGGAGAGCAGTTCTATTTTTCAAATGAAATAACAATCATAGATATGTAGGGCAGGAAGGTACCTCCAGAGGTCACCAGATTCAGCCCCTACACTGCAGCAGGACAAAGAAACCCAGACCATCCCAGACAGGTGTTTGTCCAACTTGTTTTTAAAAGCTTCTGAATGAGATTCAACAACCTCCCTTGGAAGCCTCATTTGTTCTTCACAAGTTTTCAAAGATAATTACTAACAATTCTGAGATTGCTTCCCTTATTTCCTTAAGTACCTTAGCATGAATTTCATCAGGCCCTACCAAATTATCTAAATGTTCTTTAATCTGCTCTTCTCCATTTTGGCTTGCAATCCTTCCCCTCTGAGTACTGGTCTCCATTAACCATTCTAATGAAGACTGAGTAAAATAGGCATTAACAGGGCTCGCCGAACCGCGGCGAGCCCTGCTCGCCAGCCGCGCTGTCCAGCAATCTGCGCATGCGCAGATCGCTCAAACCCGATCTTCCAGGTTGCAATCTACTCGCCACGGATGAGTAGATAGTATTATTTGTTGAGCCCTGGGCATTAAATACTTCAGCCTTGCTGATGACATCAGTTAGCTCTCCTTCCCCTCCAAGTAGTGCACCTACACTTCTCTTTCTTTTGCTTCTAATGTATTCAAAGAACAGCCTCTTACTGCCTCACATCCCTTACTAGGTGTAACTCTTTTTGTGCTTTCACTATTCTAATTTTGTACATGCTTGTAACAGTCTCCTTGGCAATTCATCCATGCTACCACATTTTGTAGATATTTTTGGAGAGCACTATTTATAAATTTTGCACCGAGTTTGTCAGAGCCTTATTAACTGACACAGACTGGGAGACTTGCTGCAAATTACTGATTTGTGAGAGTTAGCAAGGAACTGAACACAAATCTATTATGGTCATTTATTTCATCACTGTCATTTAGTTTGTATTAACATTTCAAGATATGCCAATACATGTGAAATATTACTAATATGAAAACTCAGAATAGCATTATGCTATTAAGTCTTCTCAGAGGTAAGGACAGAACACTACATTTTTGCAGTTTAGTAAGGTTCTGCAGTGCCATACGTTATTTCTGGTTTACAGTTTAGACTTTGGAAATTATGGCACTGAAAAGTGGAGAGACCATACTGAACTGCTCCCTACAAAACCTGTACTACTATGAAAATTTCAACAGAGCAATTCAGTTTTCATTCAAAAAAAATACACATCACAGGAACTAGTAACTGAGGCTCACTTACTTTTCACTGACCGCCTTACGATAAGATGTGTTATGCAATGGAGACTCCTACTTATTACTATGAAAACTGCTACTCAACACTGTTCAGGATCAGACCCTTAGAATGGAATAGTACTGAGAATACTTCAGTAAAAGATTAAGGCTCTAAACCTGCAAACACATATATGCTTAACTTTACATATACATTTAAGTGTTTACAGGATTGGGGCCTGAAGAACAATGAATTTAATCATTCTTTAAATAAAAGTTTTCCTTTCAGCGTTGTCACATCTATATTATAATATTGCTATTCTTACCGAAGAACATTGGTATATCAAGCTTATCTTCTCTGTCTACTTTTCTTTTTATCATAACTATGTAGACAGCATACAGCATTGCTCCTGCTAGAGACCACAGAGAACCTATAAAAATAAAAATATTGTTTTAAGACAAATTGGTTTTGCATAGTGTTAGGAATCAGACTAACTGTAACAGTTTTTTGTAGATCCATTACCGTATTCTATGAATGAAACTTTTGAAGATGTGATTCTCTACATGCATACAGTGAAAGGGAGTTTAATAGAAAACATTCCCCAAAACATGCCACTTTCAGCAACAAGTTAAAACCAACTCCCAGAGTCTAAGACATGAATGTAAGAATGGCCATACTGGGTCAGACCAAAGGTGCATCCAGCCCAGAACCCTGTCTGCCAATGCCAAGTATCCCAGAGGGAGTGACCTGAACAGGTAATGATCAAGCAATCTCTCTCCTGTCATCCATCTCTACCCTCTGACAAACAGAGGCTAGGGACACCATTCCTTACCCATACTGGCTAATAGCCATTAATGGACTTAACCTCCATGAATTTATCTAGCTCTCTTTTAAACCCTGTTATAGTCCTAGCCTTCACAACCTCCTCAGGCAAGGAGTTCCACAGATTGACTATGTGCTGTTTGAAGAAGAATTTCCTTTTATTTGTTTTAAACCTGTTGCTCATTAGTTTCATTTGGTGGCCCCTAGTTCTTATATTATGGGAACAAGTAAATAACTTTTCCTGGCAGATTTATACAGCTTGTCTTTCTCCCATGTGGAAGTTGTGAGCATTTTTTTTAAAAATTACGTTTATCTTGGTACTTCAATTTGCAATATAAAAATTAATATACCCATTGCACCTCTTCCAGCAGATTTCTCAGCAGATTTCTCAGCAGACCCAGAGAGATAAACAAGTACTACACCGCCAATGCTAGGAAAAACCATCAACTGTTAGGCAAGCCACATCTTTTTTTTTTTTAAACTCACATGCACAGCAACAAAAACAGACACCAGTTTTTAGATATTTGTAATTAGACTGAATCCAGCTTTTGGTGAACCTGTGCTTTAAAGCCTATTCCAGAGCTCATTTAAATCCATATGCCTCTTTGCATTGACTTCACTGAACTATGGACGAAGCCTTTCTGAGAACAAAGCTGACATGAGAGATTGTCATTACACTTCTAATGTGTTCCATCTGCATTAAAAAAAAATCTAAAAATTAACTAGCAGTAAAAAATGTGTTGGTATTTATTATCTAATAATAATTTTATAATCTATGCTTACAACTTAAATTAGATTAAATGACTACTAAAACAGAATTTTTTAAAGACGCCCTGCCCAATTACAGTTGAGCAGTACATTCACTTCAACTGATTAATAAAAGAAAAGAATCTGAAACATCACCACTCCAATGACAGTAAAGAAGCAGAAAAGCCCAGAGCAGATGATAAGTTGTGAGTCTGGAATGATAACTGAACAAAATTGTGAACTAACCAGATGATTACATGTCACAGCATCATTTTTTCTATCCCATCTAAATATTTAGAAGTCATGCACATAACTGTCAGACACAAATGTTTAAAAAGTCAAAATTAGCTGAACTTCAAATTAGCTCCTTAATGCCCACACACCAAAGCCATCTGACCCCACAGTTCAAATGAAAACATATGAAAAAACAAACAATTTCAAAGCAGACTAATACTACCTAGGGACATGTATGGGCAACCAGTTACCCAGTGAGCATCACCCTTAACGAGTGATGCTTGCTGGGTAATGGTTAATTGTTACCTGGGAGCAGCCCTCAGGGGCCTCCCAATTCTGGGTGGGGCTGGAGGATCCAGACTGGAGCAGTCCCTACCCACAGCTCCAGCCCCTCCGTTAAATTTGATGTTTAACCAGTTAACTAATTAAACTAGATTTTATATCCCTAATACTACTACCACCAAGTTGTAGCAGTGTTTTAATTCTAACTTTTGGTTACGCTGAACAGTAAATCTTCAGCAACTAGCATATACAGAATTCAATTAAACAAATATTTATATTTAGAGGAAGACCCCTGGTAACAGCAGTTGTCAAAAAAGTGAAATTTTAAAAACAGGCACTCTAAGGTTTATTTTCCTAAAAACCTGCTAAGATCTACTATTCTTGAAATACTAACATTCTTCACCAATAAATTCAGCTCTCTCAAACAGTTCAAAAACCCCCCTGGCTTGTTTAGGGTAGGGTTGGAGAACGGGTATTGGAGATTATGAGTTCACATTCCTACCTTAAAACAACAGCTAACAGTTTGGAAAGAGTAAACCGATCTCCACTGTTACTTGGAAACACTGCGGCTAAGATTAAGGTAAAAAGTCCTGTACAAGAAAATAAAAAAGTTGCATCATATCTTTTCAAGCTTTGTTATTTACCTGTTCAATAAACTGTACTATCGCTACCTCAGTTTTAAATGTTTGCTGATCACTGCAGATTAGTTTTAATACTTTTAATTAGGAATGTATTAGAGGCAGCAGCACGGGATGGAAGGGGGCCAGCAGATCCCCGGGAGCCAGCCCTCGCAGGTAAACTGCCTAAAAGCCGGCTCCCTGTGAACACGAGCTCCCACCTGCCCTCTTTCCTCCCCCCGCACTGCTGCCTCTGATATAGACAGAGGCAGCAGCATGTGTGTACTGCGAGGGGGTGCATGTAACCATAAACCAGTTGCATGTTTACACTATCACATCCCTATTTTAATTTGAACCTCTGTGATAGAATTAGTGTATCCACTTGTCCCTACATTTCTTGTATTATTAAAATGTCTATATTCAAAAAGCAAAATTTATGTCAGAGACATGTAAAAACACATAAGAAAAATGAAGACTGCAATTTAAACATGCAAAAGAAATGAACCAATGAAGTTTTAGAAAACAAATCAGCCAATGCCAAAAGCAGTGTTTATCAGAATTACTCTTTTGAAATAGTAGTGACCAAACCAGCCTACTACTTTTGGGTTGCAAATAAGGTAAGTATCAGCTTTGAAAGACTAAGTCTAATTATACATTAGAGCAAAACTGTCGGGCAAAAAGTTTCATTTAGTTGATCGTAGTAGGGACAGAGACTGCAGGTTTGGGGCCAATAAAACTATGAGAAATGCAAAAAAAGAGCTCATAGGGATTTAAATTAAGACACTTCAATGGACGGAGTAACCATGTCCTAAAAACACTGCTGCTTGGTACTTTTTCCCCATCTCTCCAAAGAGTGGAATTGATTAGTTCTAATTTTGACATCACATGCAAATTTTCCACTGTAAAAAAACCTTAGATTTTATGTTGCAAACTTGAAAGGGTGCTTGAAAACTGATTTTTTCTCTTGAGAGAGATATGCAAGTGTAAAATGCACAAAACTAAAACTATTATTTAGGTCCTTAATGCCTCCAAATTACGCACATCAGGTTATTCTGCATAGTCTCAACTGAATTTCTTTCACCTCCCTGCCCCCTTCTTTGCTGGTTATTATAGCCAGAGCCTATAATGTTATCACCAGCTCTTTGCAGCATAGCAGCTGTGCCAGTTGGTTGTGATCATATTCACAATATCCATTATCTCTGATCAATGGGAGTATACTGCTTTTTCCCCCGCCCCAGTTTTTAAAAATTATGTTTTTATTCTTCTCACATCAGTTAAAACATAAAAGCGTACAGGAACTGTGCAACAGCAATCAGCTTAAAAACAAAATGTTGCTGATTTCAGAAAGGAAGAGGTTCTGCTCGGTGCATTATTTCAAATGTATATTTCACAAGAGCTGCTGAAGAAAAAAAAAGTCATAAATCTGAAGCTTTAAAATACCCCTCTCACAGTGAGGGACATTCAGTACAGCAATCTCAGGTGTGGCTGAGTGTCCTAGAAAAGAATCTCACTTTAAAAAAAAAAATTTCTTCAGCATGTGAAGAACCAGATTTTTTTTTTTTTTTTACAGTAAGTTGCAGCCATTTAAAACATCTTTTTTTAAATTGCTATAGCCCCAAAAGTTCCCTAACTATAAAAATAAAGTAGTGCAGGACAATATAAAGACAAACAAAAGCAACTTGCAAAGTGGGAAGACAAAGACAGTAAATTAATTTGGAACAATACAGGGAACACTTCTAAACTTTTATATTTGTTTTTTTTAAACCTTACAGCTTCTTCAAGATAAGAGATATTTAATGAAATTTGCATAACAAGGAGAGCTGTTTATAAATTAAAGCTATTTCAGTTGCTCTAACAAGGCATATTGCATATCTTACCAGAGGTTGAAGATAGGATATTAACTATGGCAACTTGTGCATCTGAAAGTGCTTCTTGATAAGAGAAGTTTGCCAAAAACCACTGCAGAACAAGGAAATAGTACAATGAATAAATGGATAATCACAAAAGGTATTAAAACAGCATTTTGCCTGCATATTAATTCTAGGGATGTTAAAATGCCTAGTCAATATGCACTTCCGCATTCCTCCTTTGAAATGTACAAGAGCCCCTACTGGGCTCTTGTGCATTTCAAAGAAGGAATGTGGAACTCCATGCACAGCCTGGGGCCAGCAGGAAGTCCCACTGACTCCGGGCTGCACGCAGGTGCCTGCTTTGAAACGTACAAGAGTGCCCAGTGGGGGCTCTTGTGCATTTCAAAGCCATGGAGCCTGAGGTGAGTAGGGGACTCCCCAGAGGAACCAGAACCCAGAGTCAGCTGGGGACTCCCCAGCTGACCCAGGGCTACCCAGAGCTTTTGCCTTTTAAAGGGGCAGTGCCGCACAGGTGAGCCACAGATCAGCTGTGCAGCAGCTGTCCCTTTGAAACTCCACCTTGGGGTTTCAAAGCAGCAGTGCTGCACAGCTATCTCCGGCTCAGCTGTGCAGCGCTGCCACTTTGAAGTACTTCTCCCTCCCTTCTGCTGCCTCTATCCAATAGAGGCAGCAAGGGGGGGGGGGGGGGGGGATAAGCAAATGCTCTTTAACATCCCTAATTAATTCCTGCAATTTTTAGATTTTCTGTATTTACCAGTGATACCACTTGAACTAAAATACTCAAAGATCAATCAGAACAAGGCTTGCACACAATTTCTTTTGCCTTATAAATGACTAAATCAACTTCCAATGATTCCTAAGAAGAGATTGAGGAATTAAACAGCAGAGATGAAAACAGGAAACAGTTTCAGCTGGGTCTACAATAATTACTGCACACTTTCGAAAAATACACACTGAAGATAATCGGTGAAAATGGCAACGGCAAATCAGCAACAACTAAAAAGCTAACAACTTAGTCTCAAGTCATCATTTTGAAATTATGAAAGACAGGCTACTGGGCTAGATGGACCTTTGGTCTGACCTAGTATGGTCATTCTCATGGGGGTTAAATTAACTATTGTCCCATTTAAACACTGGAGTCTGATAACATTTTGAGGATATAAAAAAGGCATCTCCAAAATGTGGATGATACATCGATCAATTTCCTCAGCGGTATTTTGTGAGGATTAACATTTATAACACACTAAATATTAGAGCATATCTTTGGCAAGAACTCGGTAATAATGTTACCTCAAAGATGTTTTTCATCAAGCTACCCATTCTCCAAAAATTTCAAAAAAGATTTTACTTTCTGAATGATGACCACGAAGAAAAATACAGAAACTGGTACAACCGAGGTGCCTCCTAGAACAGGTTACACTTATTTGTAAATAAAAGAGATTAATCTTATTCTGGAGAGTTTAGATACATAGGCATAAATAGAAAATTAATCTTAAAAGTGTAATTACTTCATAATCTCCTTTGGATACATAAAACCTGCAACTAATTTTCCTTTACATCCTATGGACAGCCTATCAATACATCCATCATCTCAGGACACTCCAGCTGTCCAATCACCTTCCTCTGGCCAGGACAGCAGTTCAAGGCACCTCCAGAGCTACTATAACTATGAAGCATCTTCTGTTGGTTGCAGAGCTGCATGTGACTTATTCTTTACCATGTTTTAAATAAAACTTCTCTAGCAGTAGTGGAGCCACTGCTAGAAAGGTCATCACTGCTTTGTTATCTTCCTCGTCAATGCTGTCTCCTAAGAAACACACCACTCTCACCTCTGTTTTTCTGTGAGACTGAAAACTGCTGCAGAAGTATGCCAAGATGACCAGTCTGCTGATAAGGAGGAGAACATCTTGCAGCCCTACCTTCTCACAGGGTAGAGTTGAGGACATCCTCTGCCAGGCTGTGTACAATGCCACAGGATGAGACAGAATGTGGTGGCAACTTTCAAGTTACACAGAAAGAGAACAGGGCAACAGATGTATTTGCAGGCCCTTTTCCCTTCTCTATTCCCCAAAAGGCAGTTCTACATCCACAAAGACCCCACTTCACTGTACAAGGAAGGAATAGCAGCTGGTGTGTAAGTAACCCTGGATTTCTGCCAGTGCAAAACTAGAGAGTGACTTACCACACCCATTCCAAACAGTGGAGAGTATGACATAATTTGCAATGGTTATGCCAGCAGTAGAACCCACTTGTACTGCTCAGAGTTGCATTTTAGGGAATTACAGATCAAAAGTTATACCGTATTTAGAATATATGAGAAAAAAATACTGATAAAATATAGATCACACTCCCACATTAAATACAAGTTCATTTTCATTCCTATATAAAACAGTTCTATATCTGCAGCTATATTTAATAATTTTCTTAAAGAACAAAGCACATACCACAAAGCAAAAGAAAAAGCTGATTTTTGCTGCTTCAGTTGCAACAGTTGGATATGACATGCGAGACAACTTTGCTTCCAATGCATGGTTCGATGGGAGTTGTCGAATCTCCATAATATTACTGAACCTTACACGAGGCTTTTTGGGAGCTTAAGGAAAAAACAAAGTGGCACATGATCATTCAACTTTTCACTCAAGAACACAGAAAAAAATGTTTGATCCCATTGATTACAGCAGTTCACAAATCATGATATGAAACTTCAACAAAATATTTGCTTTAGTTAGTTTTTAAACAAAACAGCATTTTTACTACTTAATTGGGTACTACTGGAAAAGGACCTCATATTTGCTTTAATTAATTATTATGGTCTATTCAGAGTAACGTCACAATGCAGCTGGGTACTTTATTTTTCCCTGTACTTCGTATGCTCACTGTATTTTTAAAAATACATAATATTTCAATAATTTTGTTTTAAAGAAATAAACATCAAATATATTAAAGGTCCCATCAATCTGCATGCCTGTGAAAATTCAAGTTAGTTTTTCTAGTCTCACAAAATTGCCTGTAACATTTTAAACTTATAAAAAGACTCCATAACAAAAGAGAGGTTAGCTCAATGAGACTGAATGATTTCATCTTCTGTTTCTAGTTGTGTGACAAAACCCTGGCCCCTCTGAAGGCAATGACTTCACCCTGGGATCAGGATTTCATCCTGAGGACCTGACATCTGAGGGGGATTCGCTCACAGAGACCAAGAACAGAATAGGGGTGGAACTAGCTCTGTAACCATGAGAGGGGCAATAGAGTCACAAAAATAGTCCCTGTACCAATGAGCAATTTAAAATTTGGAACTCTTTACTCACTTTTTTCAGTATCACCGTTAGCATTGCCATTCTTTTCACTGGGTAAGTCATGAAACTTTACAGGAACATACAAAGGTTCACTCTGAAATGCAGCAGGACAAGTAATTAAACAAAACATTTAAACTGTTAGAATCATAGAACTGGAAGAGACCTCAGAAGGTCATCAAGTCCAGCCCCCTGCTTTAGGCAGGACCAATCCCAACTAAATCTCACAATATCTGGAAACAAAATACTAATGGAAAAACAAATTCCATGAGCATCAGAATACTTAAGCAGCATCACCATCTCCCCACCCAATTCAAATATATCAACCAGTATATAGGGCCCAACAACATTTAAACGTGAAGACTAACAGTATCACCTATATAGTAAACCAGGCTGGAAATGTATTTCAGAGAAGAAAAGATGATAGATACTCCATTTTCTTTCAAGCTGTAAGATGGGCTCGTGGTATGTTAATGTGTTCTCTTCTACCTGAATCACTATTGAAAGGCCTTAGCTCAGAGGTCAGCAACCTACAGCATGCGAGCCACTTATAGTATGTGAGCCAATTTTCAGCAGCATGCAGGAGGGAGCTCAGCCCCATCCCTCCTCCCCTGCAAAGTTGGAGAGTGGTAAGGCTGCAGTGGGAGGACGCAGCGCTGGGGCTGAGGCTCCTCAGCAGCACCTCGGCCGGAACCAGAGGCGTCGTGGCCATGCAGTCAGGGCCAGCCCCAGAAGCGCTGCTACTCCAGCCACATGGTCCGGGGCCAGTCTAGGACTGCGTAGCATCAGGGCTAGCCACAACTGTGTTGGCAGTGGCAGCTGGGTGTCTGGGACTGGCCCCAGACCGTGCTGGCAGCAGGGCATCCGGGGAGACCCCAAACCATGTGGGCTGTGGTAGTGGGTCAGCCCCAGACTGCATGGCTGCGGGTAGTAGGGGCTGGTGGTGTGGCCATGGCAACTGGGCCTGCACCCTCCTTCCTAGCCACACACTGCACCCTCCCCTTGCTCCTGCTCCCTCCCCCTGGCCAGACACCCTACTCCCAGCCTGCTTCTGTACCCCAGCCCCCTTCCAGATCCTATACCTCATCCCTATCCTACTCACTGGCAGCCCTGACTCGCACATTGAACCCCTCATGTTTGTCCCTACCCCAGGGCCTAAGGGGGTACACAAATCCACTAACTCCAGAAACCTAGGAAAGTAAATCTGGCCTATGGGAAACCCTGACCCTCAGTTCCCCCTGTCCCTTCCCCTTATCCCATGAGGCTGAAGCACCAGGGGAGTGAGGTGTGTCTCAGTTGGGGGCCACATCAGTGAGCGTTAGGGGGTTTTGGAGGAGTTGTTTTGCTTTTCACTTGTATGGTCCCCAACTGATTTTTTCTGTGGCTCAGTGACCCCTGACCCAAAAAAGGTTCCTTGTCCCTGCCATAAATAAAGAAAATATTGAAACCATTTACATTGGACATAATATTTTACTTTATTTAAAATGAAGTTTGCTAAGCTAACATGAGAAAGTTAAAACACTTAATCTGTTTCATAATTTACATTAAATCATTCTCCCTAACTGCAGCTGGTTCAGAAAATATGGTTTCCGTACCCAGTCTGTTCCTGCCCTCCCCAACCCGGCACACAGATCTATGAGTAAGTTAAATCTTGGCATGCCACTTATGAAAGGCTGATGACCGCTGCCTTATCTGTTTGGATTTATTGCTGGCTCTGCACATTTTGCTTTGCAAAAACTGAGCTGAACCTGGGAATGTTTCCTTTGTATGACATACTGATATCTCTTTTATAGCCCAATCAACATTCTTGTTCCATTTCAGCAGCAATCTCGCCTCTCCCACTGAAAGTAGAACTACTGCTTACATGACACATGACTGCCATTTTAACTAAATGCATTTCAGTCATTTTCATTAGAGGAAGAACATAACTGATCTTATTTCCTGAATGCCTGTAAATTTAATTTTTAAAATAGGAAGAAAATCATGGACAAACATAGCGGTGTCATGACCACACAAACAAATTAAGCTACTTACCAAAGAACTGTTTATAGTATTATCTGTTGTACAAGCAGCAAAATAACCTTCAGCATCTGCAAACTAATTAGAGATTTTACACTTAAAATTCTAACAAGTCATTGTAAAATTTTAAAATAAAATGCTAAGTAAAAAATGTTTACATTGTAGTCTACCAGAGTTTAGTAACAAAATATTGAAAAGGAACTTTAAAGTTGATTCATAGTTTACAAGCCAACAAAGAATGGCAACAGCAAAACTAGGTCTTGTTCTGAAAACAGCACTATGAAAGCCATTCCGTACTGGCATAATAAAGTTATATAGAGATTGTGTTATCAGAAATGCTGAAGGAATTAGTGATTACTGCCCCATCTGGCCCCTCCTTCATATGCATCTTGCATATTGGGGCACCAGGGCATGGCAATTCCTACTTCTTACTCCTCCCCCTTCCTCGGAGCACCACAAGCTTCCTAGAGTTGGAATGCTGCAAATCAGCTGTTTGCAGCTGTTTAAAGCTCTAGGGGGCAGAACGAAGAGAGGAGTCAGAGCACAAATCAGACAACGTGAGGCACTCCAAAAGTGCTGGGAAGCAGGGAGAGGAGTAAGATGTGTGGGGCTCCAGTGTGCAAGAGGCACATGGGAAAGAAGGAAGGCAGCGGATCCACAGAACCCATGTAGACCCCCAGTGGTACACATTCAGCCTGTGAGCTGCAGGTTGCTCACCACTGATCTATGATATTGTCTTTATCAACTACATTTATCACTTAAAAAAAATCAAAAACAAAAACAAAAAAACAGCCACGAATCAGGATTGACAACACCTATTTTCCGCAAAACTATATGGACTCGCATTAATTATATTCCTAGTTGTTAATTCTTTGTTCGTTGAATCCTGTATTGCTTTTGCACTGTTTTTCCTGGGACAGATATCAGACTACTGGGCACATAGTTACCAAGGGGATTCCACTTGCATAATATTAGCGCTTTTCCAGACTTCTGGAATTTCCCCTGGAATTGCTTCTATACCTCTCCACTACGATTCAAGCTCCAGGCCTCTCATGAGTGGTCAGAGTTTTTAAACACTGAATTTGAGTACAGAGTACATCACCTTCATCTGAGCAGAGTCTCTATCTAAAAAGATGTTTAACAGAAAACCGTACACAAATATTTACTTGATGATAGAAAATGAAAACTCATTCTACCCGCTTGCTGAACGTGATCTCGAAAAACCAAAACAAAATAAAAAAAAATTTGATAGTAGGCTTTCTAACATGTTATTCTGAATTATTCTGAACAGGATATAAAAAAAAGTGATAAATCATAATGCTAGAGAATTAATTTCAAGTGTAGATTCAATTGTACAATCTGCAATTACCCTTTCTGTCTTCTTAGTTTGTAATGGTATTTTAATTAAATCAGTATTTGATTCACAATCTCTGGAGAGTAGCTTATGATATTGTAAGGCCAGCTCTACCTTATAAAGTTTAGCCAATATATCAAGGAAGATGAGGAAGAGAAGAAAAACAAAACAAAACAAAACAAAAACAAAAAACACCTCTAACACAGCTATGACAGAAAAAAAAATGTAGATGCAGCTTATAATGTCACAATTATTTTTGCCAGTAGAATATTTGGCCTTGCTAATACTACTGTATCAGCATAGTAGTACACACTAATTTTCAATTCCCCTTAACAATTTTGAATTGTCATGTATATATTTGCAGAAGTCACAATATTTAAGATATTATACTGAAAATACTTACAAAGGCTGCATGCCTTCCACGAAACCCACGTGTGCATTGTTGCCTCCATGGCTTCCAAACAATAAATCCCAAGAGGTATAGAACAAACATGGATGTTTTTGCAAAGGTACTGAAAAAAGGTTTTTTGTACTTCGTAAAAACATACTGTGGAATGAAAAGAAATAGTTAGAGTCTTCATCATTACTGATGAGCCACTTGACTTCTCATTTAATCAGTGCTTTTCAAGTCCGAATCAGTCCACCTGGTCTTCCTAAAGTCAAAACACGTACAACAGAACCTCCGAGTTACAAACACCAGAGTACGAACTGAACTGACTGGTCAACCAGACATCTCTTTGGAAACCAGAAGTACTCAGCAGCAGCTGGGGGTGGGGAGGGTGGGGGGGGACCCAAAACAAATACAGTGCTGTACTATGTTAAACAAACTACTAAAATAATGTAAAAAAAAAAAAAAAAAAAAGATTTGACAAGGTAAGGAAACGGGTTGTTTCATTTATATTAAGATAGTTAAAAACAGAATTTTTATTCCTCATAGTAAAGTTCCAATGCTGTTTTACACCAATCTTCATTGGTACACTTTGGAAAGAACTATAACATTGCAGAGTTATTTCATTATATTTCATATAAACATTTCAGTTACAAACCACCACCATTTCCAAGATGTTGATAGCTACTATATAGGTCTTGGAATACGTGACCAAAGAAGAAGATTGTCTCATTTAGCCCAAAGATTCAAATCCAAACCATCTCCAATGCACTACATGAAGTCATAATACACCCACAAGACACCAATTTGTAAAATATTACATCCCAGAGGAAGTCTACATTTAACTTGAAGTCATATCGATGTATTAATCTTTGGAGAATCAAACATAAGATACAAAATCTAAATGTGACAGCCATGAAGTTGCTCAATAAAAGATCCCTTTTATATACACAGTTAAATGCCAGTCCACTAATTAGAGGCACGGAGCAAGAGTTGCAAGATTTCTGATACTGAAATTGTATTTAATCAAAGAGCAGAAGCGTACCTAGCAGTTGGTAAAAAGGACCACTGCAATGTATTTTACTGGAAATACATTAGCAGTAAATATTCTAATATAGAACAATTCAAGATTGATACTGCAAAATAAATAATACTTTCAGGGGAGTTCAGTGAGAGCATATACGTGATCTGTATATAAAACTTGTGAGAAAACAACCTGGCAGTGTTAAGAGCTGCAATTAAGCAACAGTAAACTTTAGCTATTTATATTAGTGTTTAGTCTATTAACAGCAATATTGCTGATTTTTCAGTATGGGAACCCAGAGGTTCATAGCAGTTTTCTCTAAAGGTTATTTGCAGTAGTTTCCTAAGACATGAAATGTAAAGCTAAAATGACAGATTCATCAGACAGACTAATTTTTAAAGATATAACTAGATTACCTACTCCCTGTGACAATACTTTATTTATCAATTTAAAAATGCTAAGTCAGTCAGTTTTTCATTCCCTAACTAAAAATAAATATATCTATTGGTTCGAGATTCTGATAATTTCTAAATGAAATTCCCCCACTGTTAAAACAATAACTCTTACATTATGCTAACTCATAACTCTCAGTTCACATAGATTGCAATACAGGCAGTCCCTGGGTTACATGGATCCGACTTACATCGGATCCCTACTTACAAACGGGGTGAGGCAACCCCGCACTAGCTGCTTCCCCGCAGCAGACCAGAGAGACGCGAAGCTAGCGCCCCCTTCCCCCCCCAGCAGACCAGGGAGACACGGAGCGGCTTTTCTCAGCAGACACCTCAGCTTGAGAATAAAGGACTGAGGGAAGTGAGGTATGGGAGAATATAACTGAGCTCTGGAAAAATGTTTGGCTAGAGTTTCCCCTACAATATGTACCAGTTCCGACTTACATACAAATTCAACTTAAGAACAAACCTACGGTCCCTATCTTGTACGTAACCCGGGGACTGCCTGTACTGTTTAGCTATCTGAAGACTGATTTTTTTCACCCTTTAAGATTAAAAATATGTCAAATAAAACCTGTGTAAATATGATCAGTGCTTCAAAAACATCTGTGTAATATTATCCTCTCCCCCATTAAAAAAATAAGCATGAAACAATGCTTACTGAAGTGAGTTCTGAGGAGGCAACCCATATCACATCAACGAGTAGAAGAATGACAATTCCGAGAGCCATTCGCTTACGCTGAGTGGAGGAACTGCTTTGGGAGTTCATTCGATTCATGATAAAAACCCACACCATTTGTAACCTATTGAACATCAACACAGAACAAAATAGAGCTTGTTGACAGTGATTATAAAATTTATATATATCTATATAAAGGAAAGTAAGAAATATATATATGAAGGAAAGTAAGAAAAAAAGTCATCAGTAGCATTTAACAGACGTTAAGCCTGTGTAGTGTATTACAGAGAGACCTAGGTTATAGTGAATGTTCTGAAGCAGGGACTTGACAGATCTCCAACATCCAAGGTTAGCATCCTAACAACCAAGCTATACAGGTGTAAGGGCTAGGCAAAATACGGCCCAGGGCCCGCAGACCACCCACACAGGACCCACGGGCAGGCAGCTGCCGCAGTTTAAGTGCAGTCCCTATGTTTCTCTGCTCTGCAAGAAGGGGGGAAGCTTCATGTGATCTCCGCACCCACCAGCCCAATCCTCGGCTCCTATTTGCCAGAAACAACCAGCCAATAAAGACTGACCTCCAGCCAATAGGAGCTGAGAGACTGGCCTGGGAGACGAGGGCAGCACAAGCCTCTTCACCTACCGGAGTTGAGAGCCACATGGAGGGTGCAGTCTGCATTTGCAAGTGGTCTGAGGCTGTAGCAGGCAGGTAGCCCAGCCTGCCTTGGGGGTGTTGCAGGCCTACTGGCCGAGAGCAGCTTAGGTAAGTGCCTCCCAGCCAGAGCCTGCCTCTGGCACCCTAGCCCCTCCTGCATCCCAACTCCCTCCCCCAGGTCACCATCCAAGCCCTCTGCACCCCCTGCCCCAGGTCGTAACTCCATCCCAAACCCTGTACCCCCTCCAAAACCCCTTCCTCAGGCCAGAATCCTTTCCTGCACTCAAGCACCCTCCCAGACACTGCACCCTATTCCCTGCCCCAGGTCACAACCCCCTCCTTCACCCAAACACCCGCTCAGACCCCACACCACCTCCTGAACCCTAGCTCCTTACCCCATGAGCCCTTCTGCACACAACTTCCATACTAGAAGTCCTCTCCACAGAAAAGTGTGCCCCCCCCCCCGACTACTTAACAAAATCTTGGAGTGGTCCCCCACCCCTGATGTAAGAAGAGCCCTACCACCTCCACAGTTTTTGAATCTAGACCCTTTGTTTTTAAATTTCCTTTGCTTTTCAAGTGACAAAAAGTTGAAAATGCCCCAAATCTAAACTAAATGTTTCAACTGACCCAAAATGTTTCCCCCCCCCCCCCCCCCTTTTCCCCATGTTGACACTCCTGAAATGACTCCCCTCCATCACCCTCTCAGAACACAAATATAAGCCTAATCAACCTAGCTTTGTGGGCTCCCCTGTGTGTGGGACCCTGAGCAATTACCCTGCTAGTAACCCCTTAATATCTACTGTAGCTTTTAGATGTAGAAAAACAGGTGTGGCACAGCTTGGCCATGGAGTTTGATAGCATCTTCGGAGGGACCTCAAAGAAACAAGTTAAGGGCCTCTGAGTTAACACACATAGGACCTTTGGAAGTTTAAAAAATCCCTACTGAAGTTGGTATTAGAAAGCTCCACTTTATCAAGACTTAAGGATAAGGAAGACATGAGCAAATTACTTGAATATCAAAAGAGTAGAAAGCCCTGGGCCCAAGTGAATCTAATGATGGTAACTAGCGGTGGGAACTTTTTTGAGTTGGGGGCCACTGGCCCACAGAAAAATTAGTTGGGGGCCATACATAAATGAGAAGCAAAAATACCTCAAGGATGTGGCCCCCAACTCATAAGCAAAGAGAAACACTCACTTAACTCATGTAACTTGGAACACCAAGGTTCCCCTTGCATTCCAACCTCAAGACACCAATGCACCACATGACGTAGGGACACCAAGGCTTGGGGCTTCTCCTTATGGCCAGATACTTTTGGGGGTGTGGGGCTAGTAGATTTGGTGGGGCCACTCTAGGCCCTGTAGTGGGGTAAAAAATGAGCAGTTCAATGTGTGGGTGGGAGCTGCTCGTGGGTGGAGGTGCAGGATCCAGGTGAGTGGTAGGGTGCAGGAGCAGGTTGGATGGGGGTCAGCATGGGAGGGTGGCTGCAGCAACAGGCTGGTTGGGCAGAGTCCGGATACAAGGGATGGTGGGAGAGAGGGCTGGGGTGGGAAGCAGTCTGTACAGGAGTGGGTGCCTACCTGGCACAGGTCTAGGGGAGGCCACAGGTGGATCTGCGCCCTGCACTGACTTGCAGGCTCCACTCCTTACTTCCATTGGCTGAGATTTCCAGCCAATGGGAGTGATGTAGGTGGAACTTGCAAGGCAGTACAGGGAACAGAACTTCTTTGCATTGCCATTCCAGTGCAGAGCCGCCTCCTCCTTCCACCAAGCACGATGGGTGAATATAAGAACATAAGAACGGCCATACTGGGTCAGATCAAGGGGCTATCTAACCCAGTATTCTGTCCGCTGACAATGGCCAATACCAGATCTCCCAGAAGGAGGGATCACAACAGGTAATCCCCAAGTGATCCCTCCCCTGTAACTCACTTCCAGAGAAACAGAGGCTAGAGACACCATTCCTACCCATCCTGGCTAATAGTCATTGATGAACCTAACCTCCATGAATCAATGTAGCTCTTTTTTGAACCCTGTTAAAGTTCTAGCCTTCACCACATCCTCTGGTAAGGAGTTCCACAGGTTGACTGTGCACTGAGATAAGAAAAATTTCCTTTTGTTTGTTTTAAACCCTCTACCTATTAATTTATTGGGTGACTCCTAGTTCTTATATTGTGGGAATAGGTAAATAAATTTTTCTTATTCACTTTTTCCACATCAGTCATAATTTTATAGACTTCTATCATATCCCCCCCTTTCTCTCTTTTCTAAGCTGAAAAGTCCAAGTCTTTTTAATCTCTCTTCTTATGGGACCCGTTCCAAACCTCTAATAATTTCTGTTGCCCTTTTCTGAACCTTTTCCAATGACAATATATCTTTTTTGAGATGAGAAGACTACATCTGTAAGCAGTATTCAAGATGTGGGCATATAATGGTTTTATATAGAGGCAATAAGACATTTTCTGTCTTATTCTCTGTCCTTTTTTTAATGGCTCCTAACATTCTATTTGCTTTTTTTTTTACTGCTGCTGCACACTGAGTGGATGTCTTCAGAGAACTATCCACAATTACTCCAAGATCTCTCTCTTAAGTAGTTGTAGCCAAATTAGTCCCCATCATATTGTATATATAGTTGGGATTCTTTTTTTCTAATGTGCATTACTTTATATTTATCAACAGTGAATTTCATTTGCCATTTTCATCTCCCAATCACTTAGCTTGGTGAGATCTTTGTGAAGATCTTCACTGTTTGCTTTGGTCTTAACTAGCTTGAGCAGTTTGGTATCATCTGCAAATTTTGCCACTTCACTGTTAACCCCTTTCTCTAGATCATTTACAAATAAATTGAACAAGATTGGTCCCAGGACAGATCCTTAAGGGACCCCACTAGTTACCTTTCTCAACTCTGAAAACTTACCATTATTCCTATCCTTTGTTTCCTGTTTTTTAACCAGTTATCAATCCATGAAAGGACCTTCTCTCTTATCCCATGGCAACTTACATTACTTAAGAGCCTTTGGTGAGGGACCTCGGGCCATAGATTCCCTACCACTGCCTTAAAATCTACTCATGGCCCCCCATGTGAATGGGGGAAAGGCAGTGTATTTCCAGGGCAGTTCAATGGTTGGAAAAGCATGCCAGTGTTTGTGATGGAAGCAGACCGGAATAGTTGATGGAAGAATGGACTTGACATAAGAAAGAAAATGTGGGTAAGCAGGTAGGGATCCTCTTTCTAAGGACCCAATATGGGCCAGAAATCTTTATTTCATGTGGTGGTGAAGGATAAAACAATTGAGGAATTTGAAGAGGTGAAGGCATGTCAATCATCTTACCTAATCCTCTAAGAGCCTCGCCCCTTTCACAATGCATAGGCCAAACATGACAGAAAAATTTGTAAGCGGAAAAATTTGTGCATGGAAAAATGTAAGGAAGCTACAGGGAAGGAATTTTTTCCTATCACCCCCTGTGATAGATGGGAGGAGTGCTGTCCTTTTCCAAACATCCAGTAACTCCAGGGTTAAACCCAGGTAACCAGAAAGTGTTGGCAATGAGCCTAGAGAACCAATGGGAACAAACCATTGAGATTTGTACTGAAAGGAAATCTGCCTGCTGCAGTTTTTTGGGGGGGAATTCAAATCAGGAACTCGGTGGAGGGGGAGAAAATGAATTAAACCAGGCAAGAATACCATATCTAAAAATGGACTGAACATTGGAAGTACAGATATGTGAGTACATAGGCACAATCAGATTGTGTTTTGTTGTCTGGTTAAACTCCTCTGTACTGTGTTCATGTGCCATACCCTTCCCTCTGCCATACACTGGAATTAAACCTGAATCCCAGGGAAGCAATCCAATTGCATCATAACACCTAGCAACCAAGTATATCTCTTTGTTTTTTTAGTAAAATCACTCTTTTTTAAGACTATGATCTGATTCTTGTGTCCTAGAAGGTAACAGGAGGTCTGCATATGAATGCCTAAGACTGAGAAGTCAGTTATCGGAGATTACAATTTTTTTTGTGTATTTCAATCTCTTTTATGGTAAAAGACCTTGGGATGCCCCACAGGAAGATGTTCCCAGGTGATTCTCCCTGGGTTCAAAAAGAAAGGTTTTTTTCCCCACTTGGGGAAAACATACCACCCACCGTCAGGAAATCTGTGACCTTGGGATGTTTTTAAGCAGAAGCCTATAGAGGCAAGGTATTTAATGGCTCTTGTGGGCTCCCACTTCTGCATTCAAAGTGCCAGAGTGGGCAACAGCCTTGACACATCCAGACTGTGGAAGAGGAAAAAAAAAGACTCTCAAGCTTCCAGCACAACCGACTACTGTGGCCTAAGGATCCAACGTGCCTGATTTGCTAGGATTAGGAAAAAATAGTAAAGCCATCAAATGGGAGAGCAACTGACCCTCGGCATCCACACCGCTTAGTCATATCCCAGATCCCCCTCCTGCTCCAAAGCATACAGCTGGTACAGATTATCTGATCGTCTCTTGACATCCTGCCCTATTCTTCTGCATCAGGCCCCACCCCAGTTCTCCTGAAGCTAGAATCTGCTGGAGAGAACAAAAGAGGGTACGATTTCCCCGTTAAGTTACTCTAATATTTCAGAGATCAGAAATTCTCTCAGTTTATAAATTTATGGATACATTTTAACACATATAGCTTTTTTACTCATTGTTAGTCATTTTAAGTGACACCAACCCAAAAAACACTTATATCTGAAGGATATGTCAATACTTAAATATCAGCCAGGATCAGCATAACACCATGTAATTAGAGAAAGCACATTTATCTTTTCAATTTTCTTGTGCATTTGACTGCAATGTATGTAAGTAAGCATCTAAAATTCCCTTACATGGCTAATTTTTTGTTTTCTGTGTTTCACACTGCATCAAAAAAAAAAACTCAATATGAAAATGTGATTGTGAAATCTCAGTTTGTACTCAAGACAGGTGCAGCACTGACTAGACTGAACACTGACAGTATTCTGAGTATCTGTTCTGAGCTACTTATCTAAATCTCTGATCTCAGACAATTTATAGCACTATGTATTACAATATTATTGAAGTTTGCAAAATTTAAGATAGAATGCAAAAGGTGTGAAGAGAAACTAAGGATCATGGGTATCTTAATCTATTGTATTTCAATTTTTCATTTTATGCAAAAGATCTTAATCATGAATATTTCTCCAAATAAAATATTTTGTTTCTCCACGTTCAGAACATGCTGCGATAAAAAATAATGCTGAGAAAATAATTGCCAATATTACATTTTACATACCTGCACAGAAATTTTTAAAAACAATATAAATGCTTGTACTTTAATAGACTTCAAGCTACCATTGTCAAGATGAAGGCTCTCTCCTAAAATGGAAAAATAAAATGTGAAAAATTGTGAAACATATGTTCCTTCAATAAGTAATTTTCTAAACATAAAACAATTGTACTGAAGTATCAAAACTTCAAAGCATTTGTTACAGATACAAATATGAATACTGACAATTCAGTCTGTAATACTAGTAAGACAGAGCATAAAAGTGAAAGAACAGTGTCAGGTGCGGGGGCACAACTCTTAAATCCCTTTTAATGATCCACAAATGGAAAAAGTTTTCTCAAGACGTTTAATTACACTTGCTCCTTCCACTGGGGTTGATCTTATGGATCTTAAATTTGTGCAGAGACTGTATTGCTATCAGTATCTTGCACAGGCTTGAACATATTGTTTGGTCTTAATAGCAAGCAACATTGTAATGTTATAACAGAAGGACATGTAACTGCGTGAATAAAGACGACTGCCTTAATTCTTAAGTATGTCTACATTTTAAAAGTTTATTTTAAGGCTAAACTGTTGCAAAATTTTTCCTCTTAATAGCTCCTTTATGATGAAAGAATCAATCTCTCTCCCTCCCCAAATCACTGATCGGGTTCTCCAAACATTCAACAAAAAGTTGGGGGTGGGGAGAGAGGCTTTTCACATCATAGACTCTAGGATAACAGGAATTGCTGCACTCGATTAATCCTCTCTCAGACAACAGCTGGACATCAGGACAAGGTGGGGGCCCAGCTATGGACTCACGGAAAGGGCAAGGCCTCAGGCAGCCAGCCTTCAAGACCACCCAGAGCGTGCTGTGTCCCCTTTTCCCAGCCAGCCCTGGAAGCGCCAGCAGCAATTTAAAGAGCCTGGGGCTCTGGCCACCACTGCAATAGCAGCAGCCAGGAGCCCCGAGCCCTTTTGGGTCCTAGCACAGTTGCCCCCTACTCCCATCAGAGGGCCTGACTAGATGCTTCAGAAGGTGAAGTATCCTGTAATTGAGTATGAGTGAACAGTCCATAGAGAACATTTCATGTTAATGTCACACATCTTATACTTTAACATATAAAGGACTGATCCTCTCTCGATTTTTTTTATCTTGCCTAATGCTCTCTTGTTCCATATAATATAAGTGCTGTATTAATATGCCCTATATGCGATCTATTTGTCAAAAACTTTTCCTGAATCTTTTTTCTTGTCTATACTGTTGAAGACATACTTGCTGGCAGGTATTTTGAAATAAATTACAAAAATAACTGAAACTGCCGGGACTGCATTGTGTGATTTTGACCAATAATATATGCAAAATTTTAAAACACGGTGCATTTTTTTAAAACAAAAGGAAAAACTATGTAGCACTTTAAAGACTAACAAGATGCTTTAATAGGTGATGAACTTTCGTGGGCCAGACCCAGTTCCTCAGAACATATTCTGGAAGAGCACTGGCATGACCGTATATACCAAAGGAATACAATGAAAAAAGCAAACACATTATTAAACTGACAAATTAGATTTAGTACAGAAGGTGGGGTAAGGAAGGGGAGAGGGGATTTATGAGTCAATGAATGGCTAATCAGGGGTGATAAGTAGGAAGCTATCTTTGTAATGGTTAAGGTAAGTAGCATCTTTGTTGAGGCCCATTTGTAAAGTGTCAAATTTAAGCATGAATGAAAGTTGTGAAATTTCCCTCTGTAATCTGGTGTTAAAGTCTCTTTGAAGTAAGATGCATATAGTAAGGTCGTTAAGACTATGTCCAGGTAGGTTGAAATGAAAAGCAACTGGTTTTTCCTTGTGAAGATGTCTGATTTGTGGGCATTAATTCTTTGGCGAAGTGTCTGAGAAGTCTGTCCAATATACATAGCAGAAGGACACTGTTGGCACATGATGGCATAAATTATATTTCTGGATGAACAGGAACGTGTGTTCTTGATCCTGTAACTGACATGGTTATAATAATGTGTTCATTTTTTTCATTGTATTCCTTTGGTATATATGGTCATGCCAATTCTCTTCCAGAATATGATCTGAGGAAGTGGGTCTGGCTCGGGAAAGCTCATCACCTATTAAACCATCTTGTTAGTCTTTAAAGTGCTACATAGTTTTTCCTTTTGTTTTAGCAAAAATCAGACTAACATAGCTACCTCTCTATTACTATTCAAGTGCATTTTTTGGAACACAATTCTTCCAGGAGTAAGACATGCAACATATGCTGAATGTCTCTAAGTCGTCAGGCTCAGAGGCACTTGCAGTATACTGTGAAAATTAAAAGCTTACCATTTGTTTACTCATTCTGGAGGTCAGAAAGTCCAGATCCACTGTAGACTGTTACCCACAGTGACCTAGCTGGTGCACTATAACTGCTAATCAATTTATATACACTGTGCAACCCTGTGACAGACAGAGACTAGCACTTCAGAAAGCAATACCTTTTAAAAAATATTGTATATATATACACACACACACACATACGGGAACTATCTTGACCTATGCTGGTGGTATCAAACATCCTGCCCACCTAAAGTATTTTTCCAGTGCAAAACAGAGTCAGACTCAGTACCACATGACTTGACGTACAACTTCTAGCTTCAGTGTAGATGTAGCCTGAGAGGTAATTCCCAGTTCGGGCAGATGTTAAAGCCCCAGTTCTCCTTGACTTAGCATGCTAAAAATAACAGTGAGGCCATAAAGGCAGAGGTGGCTTTTCTGGCTAGCCAACCAAGTGCATAATAAAGATCTTGGTTAGGATTTAACTCAAGCAGCTAACCCAAGTCACCACACATGCCACTGCTGCAACACTAATGTAGGAACTAATGTAGGTACGTCCACCCAAGATTAGAATTCACCTCTCAGCTGCAGTATAGATGAAACCCTCACATATGGCAGTTCCCACATTTCAAATGTATTTAACCAGATAGGATAATGACGCTAGTACTTTAAAGACAAATAATTTAGGTGCCGTTTCATGCTTGCTTAGTTTAAACTCTCAAGAGCGGTGATTGTACAGCAGGGACCTAGTAGAGGGGAAAGACAAATACTGGTCCCAAAATTGCCTCCTTTCATTTCCCTCCACAACCCTCTGAAGTTCAATGGCAACTGTTTATTTTTCTAAGGGTAGATTCAGAGTGGCATAGCTTTAGCTCTTATTTAAGTCCATAGGAGTTATACCCCACGTAACAAAGTGCAGAATTTGGGCTAATAATTTTAGTTATTGCCTAAGGACATTATTGTACCATCTATTACTGTGCAATCCTGCCTTTGGGCTGGATTCCTAAAAGGTGCTGAGCACTTAAAAATCCATTCAATGCCTAGTATTGTCAGTGAGAAATCCACTGAGGATTGAGGATAATTTAGCATCCTAAATTTGGACATAATGGCTCTTGGCAAGTTGTTCCAATGGCCAACATATATTAGTGCAATCTTTTCACAGAATGCATCTGACATCCCTATTCTGCACCTAATTAGTATGTGCAGGCCCCTGTTGTGAGATGAAGGTGGCAGCATTCAACAGATCCTGTTTTGTTTTTAAACCTGAACGCAATGAAAGGTAGACTTCAAAATCGGGCTGAATGTCCCTCATGTTGGTTGTTTGGGTCAAACCATACTGCTTGTCTAACATATTCCTAGTCCAGAATCGGGATGTAAAAATCCAAGTTAATCAGTTAACAGGTTAAACCTTATATTTAACTGGTTAAACAATTAAACAGGGGCAGGCAGGGGCTGCTCTGGCTGGGTTCAAGTACCTCTGCCTGGGTTCAAGTATCTCTGCCTGTGGCACACTGGGCCAAGCCTGCCACAGATGGGGGCTGCTCTGGATTGCAGCAGACTCCGCAGGGCTGGAGCAGCCTCCTGCTTATGGCAGGAGGAGGCTGCTCCAGCCCACCTGTTAGCTGGTTAACCCTTCACATCCTTAGTCCAGAAGGGACCACTATGATCACCTAGTCTGACCTACTGTATAAACAAAGTTTCCTCTAAATAATTCATGGAGCATAGCTTTAGGAAAAACATCCAATCTTAATTTTAAAATGGCCAGTATGGAGAATCCACCATGACTCTTGGTCAGTTGTTCCAATTATGCTCACTGTTAAAAATATATGCCTTAATTCCAGTCTGACTGTCTAGCTTCAACTTCCAGACACTGGATCATATTTTACCTTTTTTGCAACAACAACAACACACAAAATAGAATTCCTTTACAGGTCATTTTCACAGCGGCACTTAAATATGCTTCAGAATCACCTTTGTTAATTACTTTTCACTTTTAACAGAAGCTGACCGTACTCTAGATACAAAATAGTTTTCCTTACCATTTAGACCATAATAGGGCTGAGATTTTCATCTTGTGGAACCATTCTTTTTATGCCAGCTACCTGTAGACCTTCTGCAGAAAGCCAAAAGGAATGAAAACTTAAAAACACTCCTTTCCAATACCTTGTGAAAAGTGCAAATGCCAGGTCAATGGTGTCTTCCTTCCCTTTCCCCCATATTCAATTTTTAGACAGAGATACTCCACATAAACAGATGATATTCCCAAACATTAATGCCCTTATTGTATGCAATATTGTTGTAGCTGCATCAATCCTAGGGTATTAGAGAGACCCGATGGGTGAAGTATCTTTTATTGGAACTTTTTTTTGTTGGTGAAAGAAACCTTTGAGCAAAATTTGGTCCAATGAAAGATATTACACCACATACCCTGGACATTTAAAATGGTCTTAAAAGTATATTCACTTGAATCTGTGAGCTAGGATGGCGTTATGCCAATTCACAAATGGTAGAACACTCTTTTTACTAAGACACTTAATTTCTGCTTAGTTGGGGGCCACATATGAGAGGAGTTTTTTCTCCTTTTCACTTGGGGATAAGCTCACAGAGATTTGTTGTTTTTTTGTTTGTTGTGTTGTGTTGCTTCTCATTTGTGTGTGGCCCAACTGACTTTCGGTGGGTCAGTGGCCCCCGTCCCAAAACAGGTTCCCCACCCCTGCTCTAGAAAGTATCACCATTATCAATTTAGGATACAGTTTAGTAGTGAAGATAGAACAATGTGAGATCTATGGGACTATAAAATAATGAAATAGCTTGTTGATCATAAGGGAAACCTCCTTTTGAACACAAGTTGTTAAATCAATGCATATACTACAGGCATTCTATGTAAAAGCTAGTCCATGACAAAGGCACTTAAACAGCAACTCATTCACAACCGTTTTTTTTTTTCCACCCCACAATCTGGACCAACATGAAGCAAATAAATATGTTACCTACTACTTGGATCACTGCCTGTTCACATAAGAGAAAATGCCAAAAAAAGACTAAAAATAATTTGACTGCAAATAGATTCTTACTTCATTCTACCATGTGACCCACATACTGTGAGTGAAGACAAAAATTATGTTTTAGGTACAATCAGACAATGAATAGAAGTAGACTGACTAATCATTTTACCTCCATCCTTCCAATTCTAGAAATATTTATTAGATAGCTAGAACAGATGTATAAAAAAATATGAGGGTACCAAGCTCAGTGTAGCTATAGAGAAATAATCAATTGCACTGACTAGCACTTGTATATCAAGGTTTCATTTGATGGTACAAAGTCAAAAGCATAACAAACCAGTGCATTTTGTGCAAATATTTTTTAAAATATTCAAGTATTCCTTGATTGTCCTATTATTCTAACACCATGCCTACACTGTGGGGTGGGGTGGGGTGGGAGAGTTGGCTTACAGTATGCAACTCCAGCTATGTAAATAACATAGCTGGAGTTGACTTACTTTAAGCAGAGCTTGGCACAGCAGGAGGTCAAGCAGAGAAATGCTCCCATCAACTTTCCTTACTCCTCCAAACAGCGAGGAGTACTGGCCAACGGGGAATGGTTTGCTATGGAGACTGCCCACTGTCCTGCCGGCTCCCACGCAAATCCCTGCTGCTGGCCGTCCACCGGGACTCTTTGGTCCAGCAACATCCATGCTGGGCCACGGATGTTGCTGGACCAGACAGTCCCATTTAGAGAGTTTCAACCTAGATACATATTTTTGTTAGTCTCTAAGGTGCCACAGAACCACTCTTTTTATAAGTTACAGACTAACACAGCCACCACTCTGAAATCCCTAGTCTTTATTAGACATGCTAAATCAAACCCTAGAAGATCAATCACCAGAACTTTGATCCTCAGTAAGTGGAGATGTGGCCTAAAAATTCACTTCAATGACAGCTGATCACCATTCTACAGAGGAATGGGGGAGTTGTTTTCTTCAAAGTAAGATAATTGCAATCTTTAAATCAGATGGGCGGAGCAGTTTCTGAGTGATATTACAATCACTAAAGGCTTATTTCTGCAATCCTCACTCAACAGAAACTCTATACAAAGAGTAGACTCCTCTGCAAAAATTCCCATATGACACAAAGCACAAGAACTCAAACCCAGGTTTCACATGCTTGTATTGCATATTGCCTACAATTCACCACAATAAATATTAATTAAAAATATAAACTCAAAATACTCACAGGAAGCACTCTGTTTTTAATTAATTATTTTATCTCATGAGACACCTGGAGTCCAACAGGCGGCAACACTCACTTGAAAACTGTACCTCCATGACATCCAAATGTTCTGTACACTAATAACAGTAGAGCTGAATCACAGTATCTAAAGAATAAGAAAAATACTTGGAAAAAATCCAAATTCTTATACAAGTGACAGAAATGTACATTTTCAGCTGTATAGTAATTTGCAAGTGCTAAAGGAAATGGTATATTATACATTTAAACAAACTGTCAACTGACAATTACCAGAGTAGCTGACCATGAATGCCAGAACTGAAAGCATTAGGAAAAGAACACACAAAAGTGTCTTGTGGAATCTTCCATCTGAAAGAATTCTAAAACTTTATTGTATTCAGTTGACAAACCCTACAAATATTGAACTTCACCCACCAATGAAGAGTGGACACGTGGTAAAATATATACCTGGGAATACTATGTAATTATTTTCTATATGACGTGTAAAGTATAAAATTAATACAGAGGAGTTTTGGTTAGCAAGAATATAATTACCCAGAAGAATTTTCCCCAAGCATCAGGTGTTCTCGCCCACACTTGTGAAGAGTACTAGGAATCTTTAATAACTGCTCAGGACCTCACTTTTAATTCTCATCTTAGCAACGATGTCCCCTGATAACATCCTGGATTGTGCATTTTAATACATACTCATAAGGAAGAATATCACCTACTGAATTATCAGAAGCACATAATCATTCCTTGGAAATCACCTGTCCAATCCTGCAAAATAACAGATCAAAAGATGTTACAACTAATAGTGGGGTAGACAACTACAGAGAAATGAGGACCTCAAGTCCAGTATATTTGCCAGAAGTACCCTTCATCTTTTTAACTGTGGAAGCCCTACATTCTGGAACAGGCACAAAGCTACATTTCTAAAGATTTAGCCAGAGTAGGGCTGGGTTCTGTTGCCTTAATCTGGTCCCTCTCCACCCACTCTCTAGGGACAGGGGCAGCTAAGCAGGATACCCTTCCCCACCACCACACACAACACCCCACTACAGAGTTGGGAGGCAAAGGAAGACACAGGACTTTCCCTTTCCCCCAGTTACACACACACACTCGGGATGGGTGGAGAAAAGACAGGGCCTCCCCTTACACACACACTCTCTCTCTCTCTCTCTCTCTCTCTCTCTTCCCCCCCTCCCTGCACAGGGTGGGGTGAGGAAACATCACCTCCTCCTCGCCCACCCGTACCTTCTGGGGATAGAATGGGTAGGGAGAAAGACAAAGCTCCCTGCCTCCATGCACACACACACACTGGGTGGAAGAAGGCAACCCCTGCTTCCCACTCGCACCCCCACTCTGCAGATGGGGGCAAGGACAGCCTCCTCCACGCGCGTACCCCCCTCTGGAGCTAGGGGGATAGGGACAGCCTCCCCCCTG